TAATTCAAGAATCATTATGTCGCTTAATAATCGACAATTTTTTTTAATCGCCCCTAAATCACTCAAGTAAACTGTTACAAATAAAAAGAAGTGCGAAAAAATGTAAAACTTATCAAAAAAAAATCACAAGTTTTGACGTGACGTCATCGATCGTGCTAACTGTGCTAACCATATACAGCGTGTCCCACGACGTGGTTGCCATAGCTTGGGAGTGTGTTGCTGGGATGATTTCAATTAAAAAATTTCTAAGGGTGTGTTTACGTTGGAGCTGCGATAAACGATAATAGCGACGATATTACCAAAACAACGAAATTGTTGTCATAGTTTTATATGCAGGTGTTTATATTGGAAGGAGAGCTGCGATAAACGATAAGAGCAACAATGAGAGTAGCGATAAGAGCTGGGCAAAATGAATTGAAAATGATTTGTTAGAACAAATCTGTTGTGGTAATTTTTATCTTTTTGGTCCCACAAGGGGGATCTAACAAAAATTTCACTAATTAAACAGTCGATATCCATGTTGACCACAGCTGATAATAACAAAGAAAATAAGGAATAAAATTAGCGTCGCACTTATCGTTAGTCGGCTGTCAAGCGTGTGACAATTCGTCGCTCCAATATAAACACTTGCATATAAAACTATGACAACTATTTCAGCTCCAACTTAAACGCACCCTAATGAATATACACCCAAAACGCTATTGTAACCGAGCTACAAGCTGTTAATTTTGTTATTATTAAAAAGGCCAGGTGGCTGTGAATGATAATTTGTTATTTATTGTGACAGTAGACATGCAGTAGACGGCAATTAAATTAATTTTGCGTGCTTATTTTTGTGTGGTACATTAAAATTCTCTTAAAGGTATGTTTACTTTTTCGAATGAAGAATACGCCGATATTCACTTTGTTTATGGATTGTGTAATGGACCAGCGGCATTTGATGAATATCGTCGACGATTTCCCACTCATAGTGTGCCTTGTAGAACTGTTTTTAGCAATGTCCATCGATGTTTAATTGAAACAGGCAAGTTTCCTACAGCTATTTCTGAACGTCAAATTCAACAGGAACTTGCTCAAGAAGAAGCAATACTTAATACAATTGATGCTCAACCTTCTACTAGTGTTCGAAGAATAGCCAACACACTTAACATATTGGCGATGTTTACCTCCAGGTTCATCATTTTTCGTAAAAGAATATAAAAGCCACAATATTTGCATAAAACAATGACTAATTTATTATAAAGAAATTTCGGTGCTACAGATCTGTTTCGGTTAACTATGTAACCGTCTTCAGGCACGACGTCGTATTTAGCACTTCATCATGGTGGAGAAGCATCTTAGTGAAATTTGTGGAGGGAAAATCGCGAAAAAATATTAAAATTCTTTCTTAAACATTAGCAAAATGGGGGGAACATGTTGTGCAGTAACAAATTGTGTACGTTTTATGCAAAAAACCTTTTTATTTTCGTGAATAAACTTATATGAGAGATGAATCGCTATTAACACAAAATTAATTCTAAAGTGAAAAACCAAATGTAATGAGCTGCGTACTCTAAGAAAACTTGGCTAGTCAAGAATAGCCCAAGTCAAGAATAGCCCGGATGAGAGTATGGAGAACTTTACACAATTTCGGTTTGTACCACATCTTACCTGTACAAGCTTTAAAACCTGCCGACTACGCTTCAAGACTTGAATTTAGTCGCTGGATATTGAGAAATCAAAGGATTTCTCGGATAATATAATAACACCAGGAATTCACATTGTTGGGCACTTGAAAATCCTCGAGAATATCATTTTCAAGATAGATTTTTGGTGAATATTTGGTGTGGCATTATTGATGACCGCCTCATTGGTCCGTTTATAATTGAAGATCGTCTNTTGGGCACTTGAAAATCCTCGAGAATATCATTTTCAAGATAGATTTTTGGTGAATATTTGGTGTGGCATTATTGATGACCGCCTCATTGGTCCGTTTATAATTGAAGATCGTCTCACGGCCATTAGTTATTTACGTTTCATTAAAAATGCTCTTCCGATATTACTGGATGATGTTCCTTTTAATGTAAGACAACGAATGTGCATTCAGCACCTCCACACTATGGTGGACAAGTAACAGAATTTCTCAATCAAAATTATACAAAACAGGGATTGGAAGGGGTTCAGCAGTTCCTTGGCTAGCAAGGTCACCAGACTTTAATCCCTTAGATTACTTTTTATGGGGAAGACTGAAAAGTTTAGTTTATGCAGAAAATATTGAAAACAGAGAACAACTAGTAGCTAGAATTATGGATGCCGCAGAAACTATTTGTGCTCATACTGAGACTGTTAGCAGAGCTACCACTTCAATTCTAAGAAGAGCTAGACTATGTATACAGCAACTGGGTGGACATTTTGAGCAACTAATTCAATAGAACTGTTTCTTTTTAAATGGTCTACTACTAGATTGCGTTTTGGGTGTATGTTCATTACACATTTTTGACTTGAAACCATCCCAAGCTCCCAAGCTATGGCAGAGACGTCGTGAGTCACCTGCATGTATTTTCGCACCACATTTGGTTAAAACGCATATTTTCGGGTGAAATATTGGGCATGGAGCAGAGGGTGAATTGTAAATTCCGGGTTGGGTTAGCCATGCGTGTGAAGACGCACGGCTAAACCCGATACTTTCTAGTTCTAGTGTTAGTTCTAGTTTCACACTAGCATTATCATTAGAACTAACACTATATAGACTTAGGTCCATTACTACCATCTTTTAGTTAAATTTATCTTATAGATAAACACATGTACTAGCCAATCATAGCGCCTAAAATAGCCGTAACCGTGGTAATAATCCCTTAGATAGCTTAATTAGGTCCATTACTACCATCTTTTAGTTAAATTTATCTTATAGATAAACCGGAGCCTACGATATTCCAGGCCATACTGTAATTTTGGGGAGACTCGAATCTTGGGGTACGATTCTTCATCTCGGGGTACCGCTCAGGTCCATTACTACCATCTTTTCGTTAAATTTATCTTATAGATAAACCCATCTACTAGCCAATCAGAGCGCGTAAAATATCCGTAACCGTGGTAATAATCCCTTAGATAGCTTAACCAGAAGATGGTAGTAACGAGCCTCAGTCGTGTTTTAACTGTCGAGCTGATAGGTAGTCGGAGCGTCCTCACAGTTTTAAACGTTAGATATTTTCAGGTTTTTTTCTGTAGGTTTTCTGCGTCTTATTTAATTTTTCATTTTTGTTTTTCATCAGATTTTCCTCTTTTTATAAAGAAGATTGTGTTTTTAATTAATATTTTCTCAGAGTTAAGCTTATATTCGTTGCTGTCTATTTTGTGGTTGGGTTTTCCTTTGTTCTATTTAGCATTTCTTTGTAATTTTTTTACATCGGTTTTGTGCAATATATTTTTAAATAATTATACAAAAATCATAAATAATAATAATTTTGCAGAAAATAGTAGGAAAGTAAGAAAATTTAATGCCACATAAAAACAAATATTTTTTTCTATCCACGTAGAACGATGAACGTCTTCTTAAAACGGCTACACTGCTATAGTCCGTCTTTGTCATCGTAGTTTATACCCCGAACCCCCACCATCACAGTACGGCCTGGAATATCGTAGGCTCCGGATAAACCCATCTACTAGCCAATCAGAACGCGTAAAATAGCCGTAACTGTGGTAATAATCCCTTAGATAGCATAACCAGAAGATGGTAGTAACGATCCTTAGAACTAGAATTATTGGGGTTTAGCCGTCTTGAGGGACGTGCGGCTAAATTCGAATGTTTCTAGTTCTGGAACTAGTGTTAGTTCTAGTTTTAAATGCATTAAGCGTTAGATTGTGATATATTTTTATTGAAAGAAAAGTAGAACTAACACTAGACCTAGAACCAGAAACATTCGGGTTTAGCCGTGCGTCTCTTAAGATGGCACTACGGCTCTATGTTGCGTTTATTCCACTAAAACTAGAAGTAACATTAGAACTAGAAAGTCTACTATCAGTGCAGATTACAAACTTTTTGCCAACTTTTTTGGAGTTGATGATCACATTAGCTACTATATTTTTAGCAGTTATTTCGAGCTGGGGGCAGTCGTGCAGTGCGACCCTAAACTGCTCAGTCATGTTAGAACCTATTTGTCGTGTACCTACCATCACCATGTATATTATTTGACATGAAGACTATACGTATAATACAAGTCCTCATTTTAATTTTTTCTAAATTTTCTGTGACTTCTTTGTCACACTGGATTTAATGGGATAAATAATAGGATATTAATATAAGAAATAAAAATAAATCATCATTAAACGTTTATTAAAAAGGTACAAGATACAATAATAATAAATGTATTCATATTCATGCATTAAAACTGTTTTTATTTTTGTTTTTGTTTAATTTTCTTTGCGGTTTCTTAATGAAACCATTTAGTACCATTTTAAATGGTACAATATTAGTAATTTATTGCATGTTTACTTTATTTTTTCTTTTTAATTTACCATATTAAACAGACATAGTACAAAATTTGGTATAATATATACTTTTTTTTTAATTTGAATTTCGCTTTTAATTAAATAGTTAAGTTATAATACTTAGTTTGTCCCACATAAAGTGCAACATGTCAATACATGTCTGAAGACGCAAGGCTAAACCCAATACTTTCTAGGTCTAATGTTCTAGTTTTGCACTATCACTAGAACTAACACAAGACCTAGAACTAGAATCATTCGGGTTTAGCCGTCTTAAGAGACGTGTGGCTAAACCCGAATGTTTCTAGTTCTGGGTCTAGAGTTAGTTCTAGTTTTAAATGTATTTAGCCTTAAATTGTGGTATATTTTTATTGAAAGGAAGGTAGAAACTAACAGTAGACCTGGAACCAGAAATATTTGGGTTTAGCTGTGCGTCTCAAGACGACTAAACTTAAATGTTTCTAGTTATAGGTCTAATGTTAGTTCTAATAACAGTGGTAGGTAACGCTAGTTAGCATAATATACCACTATGTTGCATATTTTTATTGTACTATCACTAGAACTAACACAAGACCTAGAACTAGAATCATTCGGGTTTAGCCGTCTACTAAAACCGAATGTTTCTAGTTTTCGGTCTAGTGTTAGTTCTAGTATTCAGGCTGATAATCAGTCGTTTCGCATCGAAAGCCTAAGAACAGCAAGGGTGTTTCATCCGTAAATATACGTCACAAAGCGTGAAGTCACATCGAAACTGTATATATTTTTCGGTATGTTCTACACCTTTCCGCACTTTCTTTTTATTTATAACGTGCTTTTTGGGTCATTTCACATTGACTAAAAATCGTCGATTGACAAATTGTCACATGATGATTCTTAAATTTTTCCATTTTTTAACATCAAAATTTTTATAAATTGATTTTTTTAGGAAGAAACTCAATTTTTCAAAAATACAACTTTAGCCCATCAAATCACCTAAATCTAATTATAAAAGATAAACTTCCATTCTCTTGGCTTGGAGCTTACGAATTACTAAATGGCAAAGAAATAATTTTGGGATTTTCCACCGATAAATTTATAATTTACAACCAAACGCGGAGAAGAATTATTTTTGAAGTGAATTGCGGTGGGGGACATCGCCTTTGGGATTATCATCTAACAAATAATTATTTTACCCTGACCTATCAAAAAGTTGATAAATTAATTTCGATCGAATTCAATTTAGAAAGCGAGGTTAGAAACGTTTTGGAGTCGTTCCATGGAACGGAAACGAATTGCATGAAATTAATTGTAACCAAATCAACCCCATTTACGTGTTTTTGTATATCCGGGGGCGAAGATACAACTTTGAGGTTATCAAAAATTAATTTTGAAGATGAATTAAACGGATTCGAAGTTGTTAATGTAATCAAATCGCATTTATCGAGTATAAGAGTTGTAATTTATCACCAAATTAATTTTAAAGAGTACTTTGTGTTTTCTGGTGGGGGAAGGGCGCAAATTATTTTGTGGAAATTAAATGTTTTTGGTGAAAATATTATTTTTAAGGAATTATTTTCTTATTACAAAGAACTCGATGAATTCGAATCTGAAATCCGAATAATGGATTTAACAACGATTGAGGTTAATAATAAAATAGTTTTATTCTCGGCCTGTTCAAACGGAGATATTAAAATTTATGAAATCGGTTTAATAAATCCAGAAATTAAGTATTTATTTAAAATAGCACATAAAAAACGATGCATCTTGAAATTATTTACAATTAAATTTGGAAACATCTCATTTTTAGTTTCAACTTCAACTGATGGTTATATTAATTTCTTCAACATTAGTGATCTTGAAAACTTAAATAATTCTTTTGTAGCCGAATTCAAAACAAATCAATCTGGAATAAATAGCACTTCATTTTGTTATTTGCCCGATAATAAAGCCGTTATTTTAACTGGAGGTGATGATAAAGCGTTTAGTTTAAATTTAATCGAATGTAATAACGCCACAATTAATAGACTAAGTTATTATTCCAATGAAAATCACCACTTTGCGCACATAACCGGAGCTTTTATAACGAAATCTCATTTTATAACCGCATCAATCGATCAAAAAGTAATCGTTTTTCATTGGGAATTAATCAATAATCAATTTGAAGTTAAAGAAGTTTGTAAAAGGTTCACCCATATCACTGATTTGCAAGGAATTGATTATGTGTTTAATGACAATAAGTTAAAATTAGTTTTGTTTGGGAATGGATTTGAAATATTTAGTGTTAATTTAGAATAAATTTAATAAATATGAATATGAATTTTCTTTTACCAATCAAAGAAATAATAAAGTAAACTCCAACTTAAAATTGCTCAACTCAAATTTATTTATTTTTTTTTTTGTAAACAAACCAAATGTTAACAATTAATAAGCAAGTCGATAAAAATCATTTTCTTGTTAAGCTCCAATTACAACACATCTTTTTCCACGGGGAACCATCCCAGATTTACAAGAACATTGAAGATTAGTGCAACTCATTAATCCGACCATATCCTCACCCCAATAACAATCATCATCCTTTAAACAATCTTCATACAAACCTATTTGAACAAAAATTACATCAAATTAATCTCCTTCATTCAAAAATTATTCTTACCTCTGTTTTTCCTACAAGTTCCATTCCAATTAAAATAAGGTTTACAAACACATTGACCGTTTGAGCAAATCCTGTTGTAATCGGTGGCTTCAATTTGACAATCTGTATAAGAAATACAGCTAGTGGCTGGAACTACAGGTTGAACACAAGTATTTTCATGTTGAATCATCGAAGAAATACATTGGCAAACTGAATCTTTGCATTCTGCGTTAATGATGTAGTTACAATCGGAGTTTAAAGAACAAACACCCCCTAAATGAGCAGCTAATAAAATGCAAAAACAATATTGATAGTTTAATTAACAAATAACGAAAAGAATTTGAACTTACCATAGGTTGTTGCTAAAGTAATGCAAAATAAAATTAAAATCTTTTCCATTTTTCTTATTAAACAATGAAATATGGAATGATTTTGAGATGTTTCTGTGCTCCATTTTATAGTTGGAACAATAAAAATCAAACTACGCTAATAAAACATGGAAATTAACGTAAAATAACGTGATATTTGCATAATGCGAAATATATGTTATCTAATAAATATTATTCATTGTTCATTCATTGTGATGCAGAGAACTTTGTGGAAAACTTTATAAATTAAGAAAACATGTTTGAATCATTATTAAAACATATTTATTTACCTTAAATTTTAATAATAATAAGCGTTTTATTACGCGTTACAATTTTCCCTTTCTAATACAGTATAATATCCCATTATGTATGGAATCAACTTTATAAAAAAACATTTTATACAAAAGTTGTTTAATATTTTATTTACCATAATAAGACAGCATTCAATTGTTTTTATTTCAGAAAACAAATGAGCAACGAATAATAATTAAATTTTTGTAAATGGCAATATATTCTTTCTTTAGGCTCATTTGATAGAGTTTACTTTTCTCTTTACGATAGCGTAAAATGTTTGTATCCTTACATAAGAAAATTTTTACCTGTATAGGTATATACAGGTGATTCAAAAAACCGCTGACAGACTACTAGGGCAGCTAATACATCAAAAATTAAAATGAAACGTCTTAATATACACGGGCTTGCAAATGCCACCTTAACGAGATAAAAGGGTGTCAAAGTTTCTTTAAAATTAAACATTATCTGCAATAAAAAGCACTTTTTTTGAAAATATTGTCTACGCCATTGCTAATTTTGTCAAACGGGCAGTATTTTCGTGTAAAGTGATCAATTATCTATCAATTGATCTCTTACAAAACTTTGATCAAAGCAATAGTTTTTAAGAAAAACACGTTTGTAGAAAATTTGTTAATCCAATCCAAAAACTGTTGCTTTAATCAAAGTTTTGTAAGAGACCAATTGATAGATAATTAATCACTTTACACGAAAATACAGACCGTTTGACGAAATTAGCAGTGTAGTTGAAAATATTTTTAAAAAAGGGTTTTTTATTGCAGATAATGTTTAATTTTAAAGAAACTTTGACACCTTTTTGTCTCGTTACGGTGGCATTTGCAAGCCCATGTATATTAAGACTTTTCATCTTAATTTTTGATGTATTACCTGCCCTAGAAGTCCGTTAGCGGTTTTTTGAAATACCTGTATACAGTGTGTCCCCGGATTGTGTCCCCGTAAGGTATAATTGACGATAAATTTTTGAATTCAAATTCCATCTTTTGCAATTAAAGTCTGGATGTCATAAAACGAAATATAACCAAGTTTTATGTCAAATATCCTCAAAGTACCAAAGTTAACGCAAGAAGTTTGTTAACCGTTGCAGGTAAAGTGGTCTTTCTGAGCAATGTACAACAAAAGTTGATTAAGATAAAATGTTTGTTATGTTAAATTATAGCGATATGCCGAATTTTATTAATGTAGGATATAAGAGCAAAATGTGCAGGTTTT